CCTCCGCGCCGCCCCCCCCCCCCCGAGGCTCCTAAGGGCAGGGGGCGAGAAGGGAGGTGGGAAAGGCACGTGGTGGCTTCTCTGGAAAAGCCCATCTGTTGTATCCCCAGGGGGGAGAAAAAAGAAAGGAACAGGCAACTGGGTCTAGACAGAGAAGGGGGAGAAAGACCCCAAGATGCTCCAAGAGCAGCTTTCCTGACGGGATGTGTTTTCCTTCCTTTGGGGTGGGGGACATCGCTGACAAGGATAAAGGTCTGGGTGGGCCTTGGTGAGGGCATCTGTGCAGGAGGCAGGGTAGGCCCTGTGGCCTCAGGCCTGGGTGGGAGTCCTAGGCGACCTGTGTCAGCCGCAGCAGGCTTTCTTCTTGGCGGGGCGGTCAATCTGAATGGTGTCCTCCCTCACTGTGTCTTCTTGTTCCTTGAGGATCCTGGGAGAGGGGAAGGTAGAGTGTTAGCAGCAGAGAAGCTGCTAGGCACCTCAGGTTACAGGCCATCTGGGTCATGAGGAGGGACCCACCCTTCCCAGAGCATCAGAGAGAGTCCTCCAAGTCTCCCCCAGCGAGCACAGGTGCATGACTATAATTTGTAAAGCCAGAGTGTAGTCAATATGCGTCCTTCATAACACCTCCTCCAGGAAGTCTCTCCTGATGCTCTGATAGCACGTGGATCCTTTCTCCGTTATAGCCCCATCACTGGGTGTAATGCACTGCTTCTGTGCTGGCTCCCTCAGCAGAGGGTGAGGTGCTGATGGCAGAGACTGTATCTTTTGTCTCTGCAGCCTATCACAGTACCCAGCACACAGCAGAGGCTCAAAAATTATATTTATTGGTTATTAACTTTATGGTGGGGCTTCCCGCATGAGCACAGCTCCAGATTAACTGTAAGAGGTGAAGGATTAAAAATAGCATTAAGTATCTTATCCCTGCTTTATACCTTCCAAGAGCTTTCACCAGAAGCATGTCTTCTGATTTTCACAACAACCCTTGACTGGGCAGGGAAAAGACGATGGATGTTCCTATGCTGGGGGCACAGCTCAGAAAGGCAGGGTGACTTGCCCCGGGAATCAGTGGCAGAGAAAACCCTAGAATTTTCCCCATAGCTCCCTAGGTCTTCCATAACTCCAGCACCTCTCCAGTGCATTGAGGAAGTCCTGGGCTCTTAGTTACTCAAATAAAAATATTTTTTAGATGCCCCAAGATGAAGGCTGAGCGCAAAATGAGCGCTAGTCAGTACTTGCCGGCTGGATGGATGGACAGATGGATGGAGGGATGGATGGACAGATGGATGGAGGGATGGATGGAGGGATGGATGGAGGGAGGGATGGATGGAGGGAGGGATGGAGGGGTGGATGGATGTCTAGATGGATGAATGAGTGAATTGCCCAAGGATTGAAATGGGGCTTGTGTGGTTCTGTTTCTTTACTCTCAGTGTAGGCAGAGGCTTTCGGGACCGATCTTTTGAGTGCTGTCCTCTCGGGTGCCTCTGTGTCCCCCATCGCAGCCCCTCTCCTTGGGTCCCCCTCCCCCTCCCGCAGGAGCCCATAGTATAACCCAGCTGGCTGCCAACTAATCCCTGCTAAGATATTAGCCAGCATTGAGGGGCCTCTGATCTGACCTTTCCCAGGAGAATTTGCATTTAAATAGAGGATCCCTGGGAAAAAGGCAGAGGCTTTAAGGCTCAGGAGAAGACTGCAGTTGGGGGGCGGGCGGGGTGACAGGCAACGAGGCTTTCTTTTTGTCACTGTGTTTCGAAGGGCTGTCCCTCACCCTTGGGGTCCCACACAAAGGCCTAGGCCTCCAGCCGCTCTACCCAGACGGCTTAGATGGACAGAGGGACTGGCTGAGTGGTGTCTCTTTACCTGGCCAGATGGAGCACGGACTCTTGGGTGTTGTGACCGGAATAGGCACTGCATTCATAGAAGATCAGGTTGTGCTCCTGGAACCAGAGAACAGAGGGCATGAAGGAGAATATGGGGGGGCGGCTGGAGGGAGCCATGGGGGGCGTGGGAGAATGCCCCTCTGCACTTACCACACCCTCACTTCCTTGTGTCGTCCCCTCCCCACTCTGTACCAGGTTGATTTCTGTCCCTCGTGCTCCCTGAGTGATGCAGGCTCTGGAACTATCTCTCAGGGGAGCCGTAACAACTATAAAACAATAGGACCTACACTGCTGCCTTCGTGTTTTACACTTTCTGGAATTGCTGTCCGGGATGTACGGGCTCCTTTCTTTTCACACCAGCCTGTGATGCAGACCGAGACACAGAGGCCAGGGTGGGCAACATCCGTCCCACTTTCCAGGCAGGGAAACTGAGGCTCAGGAGGGTACGAATGGCGGGTGGGCCTGTTCAGGTCACAGCGGGGCTCCCAGCAGCCTGCTTTCCCCACGACATGGGCACAGTTAATTCATACACCAGATAATTAATACGCTGGCTGCCCGCGCCGTCCGCACTGGTGCCACAGGACAATTGTCCATCACTTTGCTAGGCAGAAGCCGTACTGTGAGAGTGGAGGTAGGGGTGTCGTGGCCAAGGCCCATCTTATTCCACTTATCACTCCCATTAATAGGTTTCCTGCTTCCTTAATGACAATGCTAATGGCATCCAGCATGAGCCCTGGAGGCTGACGCCCTGCGGGGGACGGGTAGCTGAGTGCAGACACTTCCGTGGTTGCAGATCAGGAGGCCCCGTGAACGCTGGCCCAGCTCCATCCTCTGCTTTCACCCAGTCTGGTCCCTGCACATCTCGGTTGGGCCCTGACTCCCCTTCCATCTGTGGAAGGTTGAAGGCTCTGTGTGGGTGAGGGCAGGAGACGTGATTTGCCTTCCAGCTTCGAGTCCTGACCCCACTCCTGGGGCCGGGGGATAATTTGAATAAATCACTTAACTTCTCGGAGCCACAGGGGTTTTTTCCACTAGAAAGGAAGAGAGAAAGAGAGAAAGAGAGAAAGAAAGACAGAAAAAGAAAGAAAGAAAGAAAAGGAAAGAAAATGGGATGATAAACTAAAAACACAGGTCTGCAGTTCCTTAATCAAAAACCATGGATCCAGATGTATTTTGGAATCCAGAATTTTTGAGTTTTAGAAAGTGAATACTCGTCTATAATACATATTATATAATAGCCTCTGTGGATCTGGGATAGCAGGCTATAATCAAATATATTAATAATTCTTCAGTGAAATACTTGAATATTTATTCAAAGTGAGGTAAACAAAACCCATAAATAGCCTCACATCTGTTCTGGTCAGGTTTTTTCTGCCAAACGCAATGCAAAAACCTTTGCGCTCAGAGCTCCTTGGACTGGGAATTGTGGATGCAGCCCGTGGACATGCAGCTGCAGGACTTTCTTCTTCCTTTTTCCCTTGAGTTTCACCACCTGTGCCTGCCTTCCCAGCCTCTGAGGTCCTGAGTCTGGAGCAAAGCACACTGAGAATTATGGAATCCTGGGGCTAGGAAGCCCTATCTCCCCAGACACACAGTTCCCCGAAAACCACTCTGAGGCAGCAGAGGAAGCCAAGGAGCGAGCATGGCTTTTGTTGCTGCCTGATTGCCATCACGCCGTGACAGTTCCCTGCTTGGGCAAGTGGGCCGATGCTTATTTTATTGGCTGGCTTTGCAGTGCCTGCCCTGAATTTATCTGGAGTTTGCAGCTTGGACGCTCAGTCTTGGTAGGAGGGATGGATGCTCTAACAGAGCTGCCCAAGGAAGAGCACGCTGCCCGACAGGCAGTGAGTGTTTCATCCCTGAAGGCAACCAAGTAGGGGAACACAGATGATGGGATTCAAGGATCAGCTGGGGGACTGAAATAAGTAACCTCCTACTATCTGAGGATTCATAGTTCTGAGTTCCAAGGAAGAGAATCTGGGAAATTCCCCACACCTGAGTCAAGTTCTCTGCGGAAAGTTCCACGTGCGGCAGCTGGACCAGCCCCACGATGCCAGGACACCATCCAGCCCGCTTGCTGACTTCATAGGGGGCTCCCAGAGAAGGTTCCCACCCCGGCTCTTGGGTACATGCCCGACTCCCCTTGGGGTCCCTCCCTGTCCAGAGAGACGGGGATGCTCGCCCCTCACCTTGGCCAGCTGCTCTCCCAGGCCCCGTGGCACTTCCCGCTCCTTCTCGTTGTCAACTTTGTTGCCCAGCAGAAGAACGGGAATGCGGTCTCCCACAGCTTCCTGCGGAACAGATAATCCCCCAACTGAGAGAAGCATCCTTAAGGAGAACCGGGAAGGGCAGGTGGAAACACTGGCTGCAAAGACACAAACTAGCTTGCGAACCCCCTGCTGCCACAAAGGCTGGTGGTAACAGTCACTCCAAAGCACAGAGGGGACCACCATCTCCCAGAGCCCCAGTTTGCCAGGCTTCTGCAAGGTGCTCAAGGCTGCCTGTGGGTGCCTCCCAGCCCTCTCAGTGCAGGGACCCCCCCCTTTACCCCGCTCCCCGTGACCTGGCACTGGGAGCAGGATAGGGCACAACTGGCACTGGTACAATAGGTGTCTGTACAGAGCCCCCGAGGGCGTCCCCAGGTGATCAGACTTGATCCATGTGACCAGAGTGAACAAGGAGTTGCTCAATGGGCTTTTGAGGAGGCCCAGGGGCTGCGCGGTCAGCGGTGTACCTCCGGCGGCCTTGAACTGGGCACGTAGCTCCCCGAGGGCTGGGTCCACATCCGAGTGATGGTCTTGGGTCCACAGCACGTGATACATGACTGTCATGTGCCTCCCTGGAGGTCACCCCATGGGGACCCCTGTCCTGGGTGCCCTGGCTCTGAAGGAGCCCTGGTCTGGAAGAACGGGAGCCACAGCAGTTGGACTTCATGGGCCAGAAGAACAGGTTTATTCCAGGGCTCAACCCTACTTACTCCTCCAGGGGCTGTGTCCTGTGTCATATCAGCCAGGGCCCTGCACCCCAGGGTCCCTGCATCCCAGGGTCCCTGAACCCTAGGGTCTTTGCACCCCAGGGTCTCTGCATCCCAGGGTCCCTATACCCCAGAGTCCCTACATCCCAGGGTCCCTACACACCAGGGTCCCTGCACCCCAGGGTCTTTGCACCCCAAGGGCCCAGGACGCATAGCTACTGAGTGAGTCAATATGGTAACGTTCACATTTACGCAGGTTGTTATTTTTGCTTTGTGAGATATTTAATTAGGGACTTTTAATCATAATTTGGTAATAAATAGGTATTCGCTGCAGCTCTGTTTCACTAAGTAGAGAAGGCCGTGGGACACCAGAAGCCTGCCGGTGGCTAGTTTCGCCAACAGTTCGTCTGCTTTACCCTAGACCCTGTCAAATAAATGTCCATGGTCCATCTGACGGGTCACCTGTTTTGGGTTTAAATAGCATCACATTCGAAATGAAGCCTCCGTGGTTCCTCAATCTAGACATTCATTTTTATTGTAGTTCAGGAGTGAAAAACCTCTCACGTATTAAATGAGAATGTTAAAGCTCAGAGAATCCAAAAGAACATCCAGCAAAGTTAGCGTTACGAGGACCCACCCTTTAGCATACGGGGCCGCCTTTCTCTAATCCTTCGCTCTGAATTACTATTTCCAATGACCTCGCTGCTATTTAGTGTCTCATTAACCAGAACTCTCTAAAGGCAGTAATCCCACATATTCGTGGTGAGATGGTAAAATGAACATTCGTGACAATGACTCAGAGGCCCAAGATCTTACAGGGCCTTCTGACCCATGAGAAGTAAATTGACTTATGCACATGGCGGTGGATGTGTTGGGTAGACTTGGCCATATTCCAGTTATCTGCAAGTAAGAAACCCACTGATGGCTACGTGCGTGGACCATAAGGCTCCCTCTTAACCGGACCGCAGGTACTGGGAATACCCCGCTCCCCACCTGTGCTGTGCTGCAGAAACTTGCGTGAAGGTTTTTTACAGAAAAGGAAGAAAAGGGGAAGAATCAGGAATGTGGGCCAGAAGACTTGCTATTTGGAGCACACGCGCGCAAGAGATATTTGTAGATTGATGTGTGAGGAATGACTAAGGCTGGTGGGATTTCTTGACATGGAAATGCTCTGAAAATAAGAGCATCAGACTTGAAATCCCAGGGTGGGATTCTAGCCTGCAACCTGGTATGACTTGTTACGGGCGATGGCTTGTTCCTCCCTTGTAAAGGGGATGCCAGGTCCTGAACGACCAAGTAGGATGAGGTAGGAACAGTCAGCCCAGCATCTGGGCCCCGCATCATGAGCAGCCGGGCTGCCTCTTGGAAAACGAGCGGCAGTCTTCCTTCCTAAAGTGCTTCCTGGCTAAGAAAATAAAAATAAAAGAGCTTTAGAAGGAGCAGGAAAAAAAAGCCCAGGCCCCAGCTGGAGCGGTGGTTTTCTGCCCTTTGCAGTGTTCCCCTCTTATACAAACTCTCTGGACCCCTCGTTTCCTCTCCCGGGGCCCTGGCCTGTGCTGATGTAGGAGAATTAGGCCTATCTCCAAAGACGTGGCAAAAATAAGTGAGAACACACATAAGGCCAGGGCGTGTGCTACCCATTGCAGGCAGCCAGGCACCCTCACCCCAGCCCCAGGTCACCCTTCGACACAGGAGGCACTGGGGCTGGGCTGGGGGTTTCATGGTCCTCTCTGACTTGAACCTCGAGACGTGAGCTTTTTGCCTACACTTTACATCATTCACCTACTTAACGAGGGTGTTGGTTTGTCTGCTGCTTGGACAAAGAGGCTCATAATTATCCACCAGATGAAGCCACACTTACTTTTAAAAGTCCAAAGGGCACCTCCTTTGGTGACTAAGTCTAAGGCCACCCAATGTCTGTAGACATTTTTTTTTTTGGGGGGGGGGGGT